TTACGTGCTAATTGGCTGTTTGTGTTTCTTCTTTGAAAAAACATTTATTCAGATCCTTTACCCAATTTTAATTGAATTATTTGTCTCTTATTGAGTTGTAAGAGCTCTTTACATATTCTGGATACAATAATGACTTTATATTTTATGAGCACTTATCAAGTTTTTGGCTTGATAGTATTTTTCCATTCTTTGGATTGTCTTTTCTTCTTTAATTTTTTTATTTTTGTTTTATGTGCATTGATGTTTTGCCTGCATGTATGTTTGTGAGAGAGTGTCAGAAGCCCTGGAACTGGAGTTACAGACGGGTGTGAGCTGCCGTGTGGGTGCTGGGAATTGAACCTGGGTCCTCCAGAAGAGCAGCAAGTGCTCTTAACAGCTGAGCCATCTCTCCAGCCCTTGGATTGTCTTTTTTTTAATTATGTTTAAATATGAATAACATGACGTTTTCTATCTTACAACACTTGAGTGGTGTTAAGCCTGTTCACGGTGCTGTACAGCCATTGCCACCATTCATCCTGAGTACTTGTCTCATCTCCCCAAATTGAACTTTATACCATTAAACCAATTCCTCAATTGCCATTCTGCTCAGTCTCTGTAAACTTGACTACTCGGGGCAGGTTCCTCATATGAGTGGAATCATGAATCAGTTTTCCTTTTTCGACTGATTTCACTTAATAGAATGTCTTCGAGGTTCATCCATGTTGTATCATAGATTAGAATATCTATCTTTTTACAGCTAAATAATATTTCATTTTATGCAAATTACCCATTTGGTTAGTTCATTAGTTTATTGATGGGCATCTGGATGGCTTCCACGTTTTTGCTGTTGTTGTGAATAACGCTGCTGTGAGCATTGGCACACGATCTGTTCAGGCCCCTGCCTGTTCTTTGGAGTTTGTACCCCAAATTGGAATTGCTGGATCATATGGTAATTCTGTTTCTTAGCTTTTGAAGACCTGCCATACTGTTTCCATGGCAGCTGTACCGTTTGACATCGCCATCAGCGGGGTACAAGGGCTCTAATTTTTCCACATCAGTCACCAATACTTGTCATTTTCTGGATTTGTTTTGTTATTGTTTATAATTGCCATTCTAATGGGTGTGAAGTGGGCGTGGTTTTGATTTGCATTTCTTTTTTCTTTCTTGATGGTAATGTCTACAGCACAAAGCAGTTTTAATTTTGATGAAGTTCAATCTGTCTATCCATTGTTGCTTGTTCTTTTAGTATTACATCCAGGAAACTGTCGCCTAATCGGACACTTTGTTTTAACTAGCACGCTTAGGTCTGTGATCCATTTTGAGTCTGTTTTTGTTTATGGTATAAGGAAGAGATCCAATCTGAGTCTTTGAATTTGGATGGCGGTTGTTCAGCACCGTTTGCTGGAGAGACTGTCCCCCCTTGAGTTGTCCTGGCACCCTTGGCACAGTTAATGGCCCAAGTGTGCAGTTTCACTCCTGTCCTCCCGGTTGGGTTGTGCTGATCTCTCCTTCTGCAGGACCAGCCTCCCTTGGCTGTGTAGCCTTAGAGCAAGCTTAGCATGGGGGGGCTGGGCTGAGCTCCAGCTCGCTGGTGGAGGGAGCACTGGATGGTGGCTAGGAAAGCTGGAGACTGATTCTCCACACTGCGAAGACAGACAAACAATAAAATCGGGGAGATTAAGTCCTTCGGCTTTGTTCTTCTTTCCTTTTCCTTGTTTATTGTTTGTTTATTTATTTTCAGTTCCAGGAGTTGACCTCAGATTTGGGGAGTACTGCTCTCCTAACAGTACTGGCCGTAGATGATTTGGGGAGTACTGCTCTCCTAACAGTATTGTCCTCTGAGTGGATGGCTTTGCATTTGTGTGGGGTTTCTGTGACTTCTTTCAAATTTTCAGCATACACATTTCTAATTCTCTTGTTAAATAGATTCCAAGTAGTTTATTTTTGTGGGTGCTATTATAAAGAAATTGTTTTTATTAATTTCATTTGGTTTGTTTATTTTTAGTATTTAGAAATAAAAATGATTTGTGTACATTGCTTACATACCCTGCAGCCTTTTAAATGTGTGGTAGTTCTAGTAGTTTTTTAGTGCATTCTAAATACTCCATGTACAAGCCCATGTCATCAAAGAACAGAGGCGGGTTACCTCTACCTTTCCAGTTGGATGTGTTTTATTGCTTTGTGTGTCCAAGCTTCCTGTGGGGACCCTCTACAGCAGTGATGAGTACAAGTGGTAAGAGTGGACATCTGTCTTGCTCTTGACCAAAGATGGAAATGAGTCACTCATTTACCATCGAGTCCTGTGTCCTCCAGTTTTCAGATGTTTTTGTCAGAGTGAGAACCTTCTCGTTTCTTCCTGGTTGCAGTGTGTGTTTTGTTTAACTATGAAAAGGTGTTGGATTTTGTGACTTTTTCCATGTCTCAGAGACAACAGTGTTGTGTTATCCTTTTGTTTCTTAATCTCTATTCCTATAGACTGGAACTGCAGCCCACGCTTTCGTTAAATGTACTGTGTGAACCTGATTCTTCTCTTCTTCTTTCGGTTTTTATTATTGTCTATATAATATGATGTCTGTGTGTGTGAGTGTGAGCGTGCATGTGCCATGGCACATACCTGGAGGGCAGAGGACAGCTTTCAGGCTCAGGTCTCTCTACTGTGGGTTCCAGAGATTGGACTCGGGTAGTCATGCTCACCACACAAGCCTTTTCTGCACCGAGCCATTTCACTCCCTGAATTTCTGATTTCTTTTACTTCTACTTCCCTTGTGCTGGGATCACAGATAGCCAACACCACACCTGGGTGACGCTGAGGATCAAACCCAGGGCTTCATACGTGCAAGGCAAACACTATCAACCGAGCTCCAGCCTCAGTCCTGTTATATTGATTCTTAAATCAAGCTAGGATTTCTGGGATGAATCCCACTTGGTCTTTGTATATAACCTCTTTCCTATATTGCTGGGTTCAGCTTGCTAATGCTTGGTTGGGATTTTTTTTTCCTATATATATAAGTGATAGGGGTCTGTGGTTTCTTTTTCCTATTTGCTTAAATTCTCTTGTCTGATTTTGGTATCAGGATAGTAGTGGCATCATCTAATGAATTGAGAAGTATTTCTTTTTCATTTTTGGAAAGGCTTGTGAAGAAATCATCATAAATTCTCTAAGTGTCTGGTTTCAGTGGGGTCTAGATTGTAGGGGGTGTCTGGTGAGGGTTTTTAATTATTAGTTTAGTCTCACATGCTGTTTCTTACTTCCAGGAAGTTGATTATAGACATGGCAGTGAAGGGAGAGAAGGGTTCAGGAATATGCAAACACTCGAGAAACTTAAGGGTTTCTCACTAGCCCACCTTCTCCTCCTCCACTTTATTGCTCGGGTCTCCTGGAGGAACAGTCCTCCCTTCCCCTCCTGAATGAACACTTCTGAGGTGTGGACAACTGCCCGTTCCTGTGTCTGCCTGGGAAAGATGGTTGGGTAGTATTAGGTGACACAGAAAGAATCAGAGTTCAGATCAAGACAAGACAACCAAGGGCAGGAGCTTCCAGGCTTAGGCTGGTGTGTGCAGGTGTGACGTGGGTGATGTGTTCTGCCTGGCCACATGACACAGATGTTTAGCAAAGGAGGGTCTCTGCAAGCAGAGGTGAAATGCGCTCTGAGGTATGTAAATGAGCGAAGTGTGGAAAATCAGCTCTTCCATGTGCGCTCAAAGGGAAAAATGGAGGGAAGCTGGGAATGTAGCTCATTTGGTAGAGTGCTCAGCATGCGCAAAGCCCTGGGCTCTCACCAGCACCATGTGAAGCTGGGTGTGGTCAGGACTAGAGAAATGGCTTAATGGTTAAAAGGACTGGCTGCTCTTCCAGAGGACCCGGGTTGGATTCCCAGCACCCATGTGTCAGCTCACAGCCTTCTAAAACTCCGGTTCCGGGGGATCTGATGCCCTCTGCTGGCCTCCAAGGGCACCGAGCTCCTAAGTGAAGCACAGACATTCATGCAGTCAAAACTCCCATGCACATTTAGAAGACCGGACGCTAGGTGTGGCGGCACGCCTGTAATCTCAACACTTGGAGGTGAAAGCAGGAGATTCAGAAGGCTGAGGCCATCCTCGGCTCCACAGGGAATTTGAGGCCAGCCTGGGAACCTGTCGGTGCTCATGAACTGGTAAATGCAGCACACTTGGAGTACTCAAGACAAGAGTGGGTGGGAGGGCGCTTCGTGCTGCATGGAGTGTTCCCCGGTGGGTTTGCCGCCGGAAACATATTCTGTTTGGTTTTTGTTTTTATTTCTTGAGACAGTGTTGGCAGTTAGCCCAGGCTGGCCTCAACTCTTGCCTTAACCTCCTGAGTGCTAGGATTACATGCACGTGCCCGTCACTCCTGGCACCTCCCCCCCCCTTTTCTTTATAATAGGCCTTTGTGAAGCATAGTACCAAGTCTAGGTTACCGTGTTCTCACAGAGGCAGCCGTCCCTCAGCAGTACAGTATACTGAGGTGTGCAAGTCACTGTCCTGACCTCCATTTACCCGAAGTCTCCAGTGTTCCTCAAAAATCCCCAAATCTGCCTGTGGGAAACCGGCAGCAGATCTCCGAGGCTCTCTGAGGTTGAGTGTTCCCTTTCTGCACTGATTCACCAACACAGAAATCCCGGGGACTTTTTCCAAGAATTCCCACTGTTTGCAGCTTCCCTGCTTGCCAGTGGTCCATTGGCCCCATGGAAAGCACCTCATTCCTGGCCTACTTGATCATGCCTTTCCCCAGTACTGGAGAAGCACAGCGCGTGTTAGAAGTCTTTGGCCTTCCTGGGCCAAGTGAGCATGCACACCAGGAGGCTTCCAGTGAAGGCAAACACATCGGGTCATCGAAGACCATTTGGTGTTTTGGGAATAGCCACAAGTCTTAGCTTGTATTGGGAGTGGGCTCATCGGGCTGTTCTAGAAGCCTGGGGAGCCTCCCAACCTGGGCTTCTGAGGTCTCAGGGCAGATTTCAGGTCTGGATCCAAATGCTGAAGATCCTCCTGTCTCTCCACAGAGAACACCTTCTGTAGTGGGGACCACGTGTCTTGGCACAGCCCTTTGGATAACAGTGAGTCAAGGATCCAGCACATGCTGCTGACAGAGGACCCACAGATGCAGCCTGTACAGACACCGTTTGGGGTGGTTACCTTCCTCCAGGTGAGGTGCTGCCAGAGGCTTCAGACATCTCATCCCTGTGGGCAAAGTCTAGAACAGAGGGGACATGGAGAGGGAAAGTGGAGGGGCAGGAGGCTCCTCTTGGTCTTCTCTTCCCTGCAATGGTCTATCTAGATTTAGATGGTCTGATTTCACCCTCTGCAATGGCTGAGGCAAGAGGAACATCAGAAAGCCAGCTCCAGGCTTCCCTCCTATGTCCCCAGTGGGTGTGACTCTCCCAGCGCCGCCCATGCTTGCTTGCAGTTCTAATGAGGGCTAGGTGAAGGTTCCACTGGTGGCCTAGAGAGTGACACAGAGGCGTCGCTGTTGTAGGAGCCGCTGCCTGACCACCCCTGCCTCTAAAGACCTGGACTGAGCGAGGGCCTACCCTGATGTGGCTCAAGCTGCTCTTAGTGCCTTCTGTAGCCAAGAGCTAGGCCTCAGTGCCCATCTGTGGACTCGGGGACCTCCCAGCTAGGTAGCACCTCCTAAGGGAGTCATCACGTTTTGGGAACACCAGCCTAGAGACACCAACTGTACCTGTGTGCCCCCTCCTTGAGATGTCCCTGAGAGAGCCTGGATAGCTAGACATCTAGGAGGGATGGCCATTGAAACACGACGTCTTGTCCTGGGCCGCAGATTGTCGGGGTCTGCACTGAGGAGCTGCACTCAGCCCAGCAGTGGAATGGGCAAGGCATCCTGGAACTGCTGAGAACAGTCCCTGTGTGAGTACATGTCCCTGTCGGGGGAAGCCTGGGCCCTGGGCCTTGGGGTGGGTGTCTGCCCTCCACCAACCTGGAGGAGCCTTTACTTTGCTGTTTGGGGCACTCATTTCTCTATTGTCCCTGACCACTAGCAGTGCCCTGTGTGCTCTGGGGCAGCAAACAAGAAAGGCTGTTGACGGATGATCAGTTCAGACCCCCAGTTACCACTGTCTCTCCTTGTCCACAGTGCTGGTGGTCCCTGGCTGATAACTGACATGCGGAGGGGAGAAACCATATTTGAGATCGATCCACACCTGCAAGTATGTCTTGAATGAGGAAAACCTTGCTAGCACCCTCTGCCAAATAACACTGGCTTTCATCCTGAGAAAATGGAGGAGCTTTGTGTGTGAGCCAGTAAAACTATGGCACGGTCTGGGACGTGGTCCCTGAACTCTGCATCCCATATAAGAAAGCAGAGTTCAGCCCAGAAAGGCAAGCCTGGTACATGCATGTGTGCATTTAAAAAGAATGGATTTTATTGTATGTAAATTATGTATCAGGTTAAAATTAGACCACCACTAACAAAGGAAGGTAATCATAAGGAATATTGCTTCCTTGCCCTACTCCCTTTTCCCACCACACGTTTTCAGGGAGCCATCTCCCTATGTCAGGAGCAGCCCAGGCTGTGTTAACCCCACAGGCCAGCTGCAGGGGGAGTGCTGATTGGTCTAATGATCCTGTCATTGTGAAGGAGTCCTTAGACCCCACTGTGGCTGCCTGGACAGTGTCACTGTCAACTTGGGTGTTTTAGAAGAGATGCTTGTTTGGCACCCAGCTGGATTTTGGAAGCCACAGAGAATTGCTGCATTTCTTGGATGCTGTGCAGGGGCAGAAGCAGCAGACCATATGTCTGCCTTGTGTTTGACTCCTGATCACTGCCACCAGAGGTCATGGCCATCTCTGAACCTCCATGCTTCTGTAAGGTTCCGGCAGGCCACGGCAGCGACTAGGCATTTCAAGTCCAACAGTAGGGAGAGGTGAGAAGAGGCATGTAAGTCGGCTGCTGCTGACCTGTGAGTTCTTGGGCGCACATGCTCTTCACTCACAGATGAGGCTCCTCCACTCTCCAGGTCCCTTTAACCCTGAAATGCTCACACTGCTGCCAGGATCTTTTGTTATCTCTACTTTGAACTCGATTTCTGTGTCGTATCTGCTTAATGCAAGAGCCAGAAGCCATGAAGGCTCTGTCCCTAAGCCTGTGGTCTGCAGCCACACTGGGATCCAACGTGGGGCACTGTGGGCTCTCTGAGACCCCAGTCAGCAGGACCCACAGCAGTCTATGGTCATTACCATCGAGCAAGAAGCGAGTGGAAGAAAATGTACCTTGCTTTCCCGATGGCTCGGTGTACTTACTTATACTTCTCTGGGGCCTGTTTGCCATTAGTTGCTTTGAAAGCTGGTTCATAGTCCTTTGATCTTAGTTGACTACTAACCAGCTGTGTGCCTAAACAGGCAGGCCCTTCCACTACCTTTTTTTTTTTTTTTTTTTCTGACACTTGCCGCTAAATCTGGGGTCTCGTGCATATGAGACAAGTACTCAACCCCTTTTTACTTTTTGAGATGCGTTCTTACTAAGTTGCCTAGACTGGGCTTGAATTCACTCTGCACCCCAGCAGGCCTTAAATTTACTATCCTCCTGCCTCAGCCTCTTGAGTAGCTGGGATTACCACAGCAGTCATGGGTCTTAACTCCTCCTTTTTACATTGAAAATAAGCTGTCTGGACTAGTGGGGCCAGGAACCGACTGTCCTCAGCTCTGCCTCCCTGAGGGTCTCAGGAGAGTCACTAGTAAGAAAACTCAGGCCGAGCGGTGGTGGCGCACGCCTTTAATCCCAGCACTCAGGAGACAGAGGCAGGCGGAGCTCTGTAAGTTCGAGGTCAGCCTGGGCTACAGAGTGAGATCCAGGATAGCCAGCACTGCTTCATAGAGAAACCCTGTCTCGAAAAAAAACAAAAAGAAAGCTCAGATTCTTCCCCAGCAGACCTGCTCAGGCCTAGAGCACCTGCCTGCTGCCAGCCTCACCTAGGCTGATAACAGCCCCAGAAGAAAGAAGAAGGGGTGACTTAAGGGTAGGACCCGAGACCAGGGCATGAGAACAGTGCCCTTTTCTGGGAGCCCTGGAGAGGGAGCGGCTGGCACAGGCAAGTGTGGGCTTTTGAGGTGCATAGTCACAGGAGGTTTACTTGGCCAACATGACTGTTTATGGACAAGGCTGCTAGAGTCTTCCAGATGACCTTTGATCCAAAGCTCAGCACCACAGAACTTTGTTTTACCAGAAAACCCAGGCATGTTTTGAGTACAACTCTTCCTTGAGGCCATTTGGAGAAAGTTTAGACTGAGCAGTGCCAATGTCTACACAAAGGCAGAGCCTCTGGGGGAAGTATGCAACGGTCACTGCCCTTCAGACCCCCCATTTCAGCCCAGGAAATGGAAAAGAACCCCATCCAGAGCTCTTTGCCAAAGTTAGCTGGCACCTATGGACAGAGAGCACTTCTGCTCTGGAGTGATGGCCCCCTCTAGCTGTTATAATGAGGAACTGCAGGCATGAGTTCCCGAGTCCGGGCAGGCTCACACCCGAACTCCTGTAGGTGGGGTGGGCAGTGACGGTTGTTGGAAGATCAGGAAGAGGGCAAGGCGTATGTATGCCTTTCCTGAGAGAAGTAGATCTTGTCTCTACTGCATCAGCTCCGAGGGCACTCAGGGTTGAAAGCGGCACAAAGGCTGTGGTGCTGGGGGTTGATGGGAAAGAAGCATCCACAGCATGTTCCTTCCTCCTGGCTCCCCCTAATCCTGTTCCCCAGAGGAGTCCAGGGCTACAGAAGCCACTGTGCACGTAACCAGAGAACAATGTGTAGACATTGGCACTGCTCAGTCTAAACTTTCTCTTGCAGCAGCTGCCCACTCACACCTACAAGGCTAATGCTGGATGGTAGTGGCTGAGTAGGTGCTGGTGACCGTGGCCACCGGTTCTCTGAAGGAGCTCTGACTCTTTGGTTCTTTTCAAGCAGGAGAGAGTTGACAAAGGCATCGAGACAGACGGTTCTAACCTGAGCGGTGTCAGTGCCAAGTGTGCCTGGGACGACCTAAGCCAACCTCCCGAGGACGATGAGGATAGCCGGAGCATCTGCATTGGCACACAGCCCCGGAGGCTCTCTGGCAAAGGTTGGGGCCTTCCCCTGCCTTCCTCCTTGCCTTTCAGGACGAGTCTCTAAGTAGACGGTCCACTCTGGTTTATTTTCTGACAAATGAATTTTTCCAGTGTGGGTGAACTATATGAGCATTATTGGCCGTTTTGTAGCTGTTTCCTGTGTGTGTTTTAAACACACTAGTGGGAACTGTGTGTATACTCTGCTCCTTGGAATCTGAGGTCATGCATGTTAGTGGGAGCCATGGAACAGTTAACAGAAAAGTCCACAGTCCACCTAAAGACAAGACAGCAAATGTCCACCACCCACAGAACTGACACAGGCCCAGCTCCGGCCAAACAGCCATGCCGAGCCTGAAGATCTCTCTCCTTGGGCCTGTCTGGGCTTTTGGTGAGAGTGGTCTGAGTGTGAGCCCCCACACTGCCCTACACTGTGGTTCAAGAGGCTGTGGCAGGGCGCCCTGCTCCCACTGCCTCCGGGGAAGGTCTCGGACAAGGAGGATGTGGCTGTCCTGTTGGACGCTCCCCATGCTGGTCTTGGCTACAGAAGCACTTGTGGTTTTTGTGCTAAGGCTGTCCCTAGCTAATGCCAAGGGAAAAGCAGCCATTTACATCCGTGTATGTGTGAGTCTCCTTCCCTTCTCGGTTCTTCTATCTTCTCATGCTTGTTGAAGAATAAGATGTCTTCGGCCCTGAGTAAAATACCTGACCTTGTTTGCTTTTGAGACAGGGTCTCAGGTAGCCCAGGCTGGCCTCCAACTTACTATGTAGTCAAGGATGACCTTGAATTCTTTTTTTTTTTTTTTTTTTTTTTTTTTTAATTTTTGGTTTTTCGAGACAGGGCTTCTCTGTGTAGCTTTGCGCCTTTCCTGGAACTCACTTGGCAGTCCAGGCTGGCTTCAAACTCACAGAGATCCGCCTGGCTCTGCCTCTCAAGTGCTGAGATTAAAGGCATGTGCCACCACCGCCCGGTGACCTTGAATTCTTGATCCTCCTGCTTCCAACCTCCACAGTGCTGTGTTTCCAGAAACACCACACCTGGCTTTCTTTTTTCTTTCTTTTTGGTGCTGGGAGAGAAGCTAAGCACAGACTCTGCCATGGAGCTGTACCTCCACACTCCGTGCCGCCGTTCGTGTGAGAACGCTCATAAAGATCTCTGAAAGGACAACTCAAACTCCTCACGCAAACATCTGACCCCTTCTCTTCTTTCCTGCAGGGGTCAGGGGGGTTCACACTCAGTTCGTAGTTGCTCTTGACAAAAGAGTAACTTAAGGCGAGGTTGGCGATCGTGTCCACGGCTGCAGTCATCGTTATTTTATTTATTGTTTACTTATTTTTCAGACAAGCTCTCTCTCTCTCCATGTGGCGTAGGCTAGCTTCTAATTTCCTGCCTCAGACTCCCCAGTGCTGGGATTATAGACATGCCGTCATGCCCAGCACTGTTGTTGTTTTTTATTGGTGGTGGTGGTGGTGTTTTTTGTTTTTGTTTTATTCGGCAGAGGTAGTCAATAGCAGATCACACAGCAAAGTTGATGGTCATCCCTTCCCTACTAGTGCTACCAACCCACCTTTTCTTCCTTTGTTTGGAGGCAGGATCTTATTGTGTGTAGCCCAGGCTATTCTTAAACTTGTCAAACTCCTAACTCAGCCACCTAGAGCTAGGATTCCTGGTATGTACCACCACGCCCAGCCTTTCACCAGGATATTGCTGTCCTAGGCTCTAGAACAGGCGGCAAAGGAAGGGTTGCTGGGAGCCCCAAGGGCCATCCATCAGGCAACTTCGGGATATCATTGCAGACACAGAGCAGATCCGGGAGACCCTGAGGCGAGGACTTGAGATCAACAGCAAACCTGTCCTTCCACCAATCAACACTCAGCGACAGAACGGCCTCACCCACGACCGGCCCCCGTAAGTGTCATGTTCCAGAGCTAGGCCAAGAGGATGGTATTTTTCCTAAGGGCCATACCTGGGGATTGCCTGAGAGGGAACAATACCAGGGTCTCTGGGTTTAGAGGCAGGCCTGGTCCAGGGCACAGAGCTGGGGATTGCAGGAAAGGACCTCAAAGGGGCCTCTGCAGACCGTGAATATAAACAGCAGTAAGTATCTACAAGGGCTGTGTGAACAGAAGAGAGTCCAGGGCAGGGCAGACTCTGACTGGGGGCCTCTCAGCCCTGTGGGAGCCCATTGTGCTAAGCCGTCTTCCTTATCTCTCCCTCAGTCAGAGTTGCCCTTCCTTCCTTCCTGGAGCCTGGGCTGTGGCTGATAGCTACAACCCCAGAGACCTCCTTGTCTGGCCAGCCCTGTACTGCATGCCTGCTGCTGAGGCCCTTCTTCCTGCCTGCCTTTCCTGGGGCCCAGGGAAGGGAAGGAAAGTCCTTAGCAGGCCTCTGCTGCCTGTCTCAGGCTCCTGTAGTCTTTGGGAGAAACCAGCCAACCCCAGAGGTCAGATCTGCTTCCTGCCCACCTCTTCCTCTGTTTGGAGGCAAGTGGAGAGCAAGGCTAGAGCTGGGAACCCTTCTCATCTGGCAGGAGATGCCTAGGTGCTGGCAGCTCCAAGCAGGAACCTTGCCTGCCCGGGAGGAAGTTGTTGGGCCTTAGGTGAAAACGGAGCTGGGCTAATCCTGCAGGACTAGGGTGAGAAGTCTTTACTGGAAGCTTGTTATGTGGCAACCTCAAGCCCTGGGGCCAGCTGGGATGCACAGGCCTTCCTTTGGGGGACCATGAATGAAACAATGAACTGTCTATGGGGGTGCAGTCTGACTGCACACACAGTTCGTTGGAAATGACCACAGCTTTGGAGTCTTGCTGATTCATAATCCCCGATACAGTGTACTCCAGGAGACTTCATCATCTGGAGTAGGCAGCATGTCTTGGAGAGAGAGGATCAGGGATGTACCCTAGAACTGCAGCTAGCCTGGGGAGCTGCCGAGGGGACTGAGATTGGGGAGCCTGACTGGTTAACACCGAGGATGCATCCCTGGAGCAGATTATGGTGTCAGGAGGGTTACTCTGGGCACACAGTGCAGCTTACCTGGTGTACCCGCTATCCAGAAGCTAGAATTGAGCTCTCGAACAGCATGGGGCGGCTTCCATTGCCACTCAGCAGCCTTTAGCTGCAAGCCAACGGCATTCTTAAGTCACTTGGGCTTTGCCATGGCAGTAGCAGATGGCCAAGCTGTGTCATGGGGCATCTGGAAGCTCTCCACCTGCAATCTGGACCCTGACCCAGGGCTGTACTCCTCCCTAGGCCCCGAGGGTGGCTTCTTGCCCTGGTGGCAGGCCAGAAGTACCAGTGGGCTTATAGCCTTGAGTAGTTTGCTGGAAATGTGGAGACAATCATCCTCCAGATGGCCCACCCACCTCTCAAAGAAGGCCAGGACTCTGACAGAAAGCTCTTGCAGGGATGCCCCTTATTGCCTCTTTGACCTGAAACATGCCTGGTACCTCATTCCCTTTCTTGTGTATGTGTCTGGCTCTTGTGCCCCTAGACACTGCAAGGGGCACAGACTGGGCTCTCAGTTCCTGTAGACAGCACAACTGGGTAGTAAGGCAGTAGGGATGGGCATTGGCAAAGGCTGTACCCTTTGCCCCCACTCTTTGCCCTCCGTTGGCTGAGATGGGTGAGACCAGTTCAGAGGTACTAGCCCTCTGGAGTCTTCTGCCCTCCCTGCCGCTCAAGTGCCCAGTCAGGTCCCCACAGTGCTGAAGTCTGGCATCTGGAGGGGTCAGAACCTCTCCTGGGGTTCTTGGTCCTTGTTACCAATTAGTTTAACAAGCAGTTGAGCAATGGCTCGCTCAGACCATTCTCCCGCGTGCACTCAGATCTCCCGGAGCCTAGCTCTCTGTTGCCTCAGACTCGACAATGGCCAGCTCAGCTGAGATTAGCAAGCACCATTGTAATATCTGTGCTGCCCACTCTGGGACCTGACCTCGTTTCAGACTCGCCGTAAAGATCGCGACAGAGAAAGCCAGTCCCAAATGTGCTGGCACCACTGTTTGCCCTCCCTCTGGGAAGCCGCCATCACAGCACGGGCCCTATTTTGTCTGCCTGTTCAGTTTCCCCTTAGTCAGGACTTGGGGCTGGGCAGCTCAAGCATGGGTCTTTGTGGTTCTGGGTGTGATCTAGGAGGTTACAGAGTGGAGCAGTTTAGAACAGCTGATCAGGCCTGGGCATCAACAACTGGGTCCTGGCCTACTTGGGGAATTGGGCACTTGCTAATTTCATACATCCATAGCAGCCAACAGTTCATACCAATATTAATTTAATTCATCCTCGTAGTCACTGTGTGAAGTAAATAATCTTATATATTTTCCTTTTCCAAAAGAAACCCTGGAGATGTAGGAGCTCCAGTTTAGGGCAGTCTCATCAGGTGTGGGCTTTCTTGCCCTGTGCTCAGGGACCCTCTGAGGACCATGCAGGCCATGTCTCTGAGATAATAATGATCTCATCTTGGGGAACTCACGTAACTAACTGGTTGTAGCATGACTAGGGACAAGCTTTCACATGACACTGAGGACAAGCTAGGTCCACGTTAGAAGATTACTGGGTTTATTTAACTGTAAGGAGGACCTCTCATTAGCCCCGATGATTCTAGAAATAATGAGCTGTGTCATAACTGGCTCATTTATAGCAGAATTACTTTCTGAAACAGGCCTTGTTTTCTTCTTCAGAAACCAACATAACCCTATCTCTGGCTCACCCCCCACCTCAGGACCAGGCATTTCTTTCTTTCTCGAGGCCCTATTTCTTGCTTCCCAGAAGGCAGCCCCTCCGGGTGACCTGTTCTCCCACCACCGTTACCAGCTCCTCCCACTGCCTTCCTGGAGGGAGTGTCCTGAGCCCTCTTTGGGGCGTCTTCAGCATTTCACAACCCTTGCATTCCAGCCATGAAATTTGTATCTGCCTTTTCCCAAGATGATCAGTTGAGAAAAGCCTCCTTCGGCTTGCTGGCGCCTCCCTTCCCGCTGGCTGCTCGGGTGAGTTTGGGAAGCAGCCCTTTGTGCCACATGAGACAGCCTGGCCTAGAGCTCTGCCTGCCAACATGTGCTGGGATCCAGGGCGGGAGTCACTGGACTCCCTCTGTCTGAGGTCCCTGGTCAGCCAGACTCCGGCGTTAGCTCCCCAGCCTCTCCATTGTAATGGTGACAGGCGGGCATGTGTGGTCAGGTGTGTGCACAGGAAGCTCTGTTTCTATAAACTTCCTCCATGCCCTGTGCCTCACTTAGCCGCTGACTCACTGGGGAGGAGAGTTCCCAGAGAGGGGCAGGCATCATGTGTATGCACATGTATGTTAGCGAGAGAAGGCTCTTGAGTAGTCAAGGGGCCTCTCAAAAGCAAACAGCATCACTGCTCCGCAGCTCCCTGTTCATCTAGAACAGCACCAGAGCTTTATAAGGATGCCCCCCCCCCAATTTCCTGGAGAATGATGGTTTCATTGCACAAATTCTCCTGTTGTGACAATCCATTTGTAAGATTCCCAAATACACATGTACACACACAGAGACATGTGTACACATCCCTCCCTCCCTCCCTCTCTCTCTCTCTCTCTCTCTCTCTCTCTCTCTTTCTTTCTTTCCATCTTGTTATCTATTTCTGCTTCAGATGGAGTCTGTCTCTGTACCCAGGTTGGCAGGAACTCACAGTGGCCAATAGCCCAGGCCTCCTGAGTAGTGGAATTCTCTTACCATTGTGGCTCTTACCCACAGTGCCTGCTCTGCTCTGCTGTAAAGGTCTCGGCTCCCATTTCTTTGGCCATTGGATGGAGTGACCCTGCTGCCTCTCTCTTTTCTGTCTTGAGTAGTTTGTGACCCGGCTAGGGAGTAGTCCTTCAGAGAAAACTGTTTTGTTTTGCTCAGCCTATGGGGCCCATGAAGCATCATTAGCTCTCTGGTTTTCATCTGCCCTGCCAGTGGATTTGGGTGAAGAAGGTGAGTTTCCTCCTAGGAAGGGCAGCTGGTTGCTGTGGTGCCACTTTGTACATGGGACAGATTTAGATGACCCTGCCTTCAGGGTTGTGTGTTAGGGCAGTAGACAGCCTGGAGCCCCTCTGCTACCATGGCTGCACTCACAGTTCCCATACTGGCAGAGGACAGGCATTTGCACTGGAGAGCAAGCCCAGAAAGAAAGAGCCCTGCTCTCAGGGCCTCCGTCAGGCTCCCAGGGCTGTCAGTAGGAAATGCCAGGGCCTCTCTGCTCACTGCTGCCTGGACCAGGGTCTTTCTTTTGGGACCCTCATGTGAACAAACCAGGTTGTCATGCTAAATGTCTACTGCCTTTCTCAGAAAACACGCTGGAAAGGGCAAAGGACACAGGCCCAGCCAATGTGACACAGGTCGGCTTATGTTTTGACTCCTGTCTATGCTCTGCTACTCCAGAGAGACAAAACTGTGGCCATTGTTCAAGGTTCCTGGCCGGTGCTTTGAATCTAGGTGCAAACACTGCACCCCTCTCTCGAGTTACACAATCAAGAGTATTTTTATCATCCATCCTTGATCCTCAGTGTCACCCAACACTTGAGCCGTGAGTCACTTCTGCAGGAAAGGGAAAAGGAAGGTTCAAAGGTGAGAGCTGAAGAAAGGAAGTGACTCAGTGTCTCAGAGAACAGAAAGCCAGGGTCTCAGGCTAGAGTGGGCTCACCTAAGACCACAGAGGGGCCAGGCTAGAATGGAGTTGCCAGTACCCACAGCTGTTGATGGATGGTTAGAGAATCTTCCAGCAGCGCTCAGTGCCCCAGTTACAGTCTTGTCCTGCCTGCCTCTGCCCTGCTGTTTCACCTCTGTGTGTGGGATGGCCTGTCTAAAACATTACCTTTCATCGTCTGCCTGTTGGTGCTCACCAACAATACTGTGTAGTCTTGTATTGCTGATCTCATTCTACAGAGAATTTGTCAGCGTGACAGCGATACAC